ACTACCATTACCACTACCACTACCACTACCACTACCACTACCACTACTACTCTACTCCTACTCCTACTCCTACTCCTACTCCTATCCTTATTCCTTATTAGAATATACTCCTACTCCCCCCTCAGGCCGGCCATTAGGGGCCGCATCCGGGGGGTCCCATCCTAACCTGTAAAAAACAATACAAAATCAACATTTTTCGTATTTTTTCCTCTCGACATGGACGTCCTGTCGTCCACGGCGATAATCCATTGCAAAAAATACAACAAAGAGCACACGCGCGCGTTCATGTCAGAATCCTACCGAACACCGTGTGTTTGCAAGCATTTCAACATAAAAACATCAAAAACCCAATGCTTTTTTCACAAAAATTGTACAAATTTCCCGCCCGGGCTCTCTTGCTGAAATCATAGGAAAACCATAGGAATCTTAAGAATTCGTCAAATCCAGCGATTTCACGTCATCGCGCGGTGCACTCGCGATGCTCTGTCATGCACCCAGGCCGCGAATCCTGTGCAAAAAATACCACAAAGAGCACACTCGCGCGTTCATGTCGGAATCCTACCGAACACCGTGTGTTTGCAAGCATTTCAACATAAAAACATCAAAAAACCCAATGCTTTTTCACAAAAATGCTTTGGGGTGTCCTGTCAGACCGTCGGGCTTCCTCCGGCCACCTCTGGCTTCCTGCGGTGTACCGGACTCGTCTGGCAATGCGTGCGCGGCATTCAACACGCGCTCGCCAGTTCCCGTCGGCAACCGCCATCGCGGCCGCATCAGCTGTACCAAACCGGCTGCCGGTGTGACTTCGGCCCCCAGTTGTGCCAGCTTTGCTTCTTATGTTGTGGGAGGGCGGGTGGGACTGGGCATGCCATGCTTGACTCGCTCGAGCTGGCTAGCTTGACTCCTACTCCTATCCTTATTCCTTATTAGAATATACTCCTACTCCCCCCTCAGGCCGGCCGATAGGGGCCGCATCCGGGTGGTCCCATCCTAACCTGTAAAAAACAATACAAAATCAACATTTTTCTTATTTTTTCCTCTCGACATGGACGTCCTGTCGTCCACGGCGATAATCCATTGCAAAAAATACCACAAAGCACACGCGCGCGTTCATGTCATAATCCTACCGAACACAGTGTGTTTGCAAGCATTTCAACATAAAAACATAAAAAACCCAATGCTTTTCACAAAAATTGTACAAATTTCCCGCCCGGGCTCTCTTGCTGAAATCATAGGAAAACCATAGGAATCTTAAGAATTCGGTCAAATCCAGCGATTTCGCGTCATCGCGCGGTGCACTCGCGATGCTCTGTCATGCACCCAGGCCGCGAATCCTGTGCAAAAAATACCACAAAGAGCACACTCGCGCGTTCATGTCAGAATCCTACCGAACACCGTGTGTTTGCAAGCATTTCAACATAAAAACATCAAAAACCCAATGCTTTTTCACAAAAATGCTTTGGGGTGTCCTGTCAGACCGTCGGGCTTCCTCCGGCCACCTCTGGCTTCCTGCGGTGTACCGGGCCATTCTCGACTCGTCTGGCAATGCGTGCGCGGCATTCAACACGCGCTCGCCAGTTCCCGTCGGCAACCGCCATCGCGGCCGCATCAGCTGTACCAAACCGGCTGGCCGGTGTGACTTCGGCCCCCAGTTGTGCCAGCTTTGCTTCTTATGTTGTGGGAGGGCGGGTGGGACTGGGCATGCCATGCTTGACTCGCTCGAGCTGGCTAGCTTGACTCCTACTCCTACTCCTACTATCCTCCTTATTAGAATATACTCCTACTCCCCCCTCAGGCCGGCAGATAGCGGGCGCATCCGGGTGGTCCCATCCTAACCTGTAAAAAACAATACAAAATCAACATTTTTCTTATTTTTTCCTCTCGACATGGACGTCCTGTCGTCCACGGCGATAATCCATTGCAAAAAATACCACAAAGAGCACACGCGCGCGTTCATGTCATAATCCTACCGAACACCGTGTGTTTGCAAGCATTTCAACATAAAAACATCAAAAACCCAATGCTTTTTCACAAAAATTGTACAAATTTCCCGCCCGGGCTCTCTTGCTGAAATCATAGGAAAACCATAGGAATCTTTAGAATTCTGTCAAATCCAGCGATTTCACGTCATCGCGCGGTGCACTCGCGATGCTCTGTCATGCACCCAGGCCGCGAATCCTGTGCAAAAAATACCACAAAGAGCACACTCGCGCGTTCATGTCAGAATCCTACCGAACACCGTGTGTTTGCAAGCATTTCAACATAAAACATCAAAAACCCAATGCTTTTTCACAAAAATGCTTTGGGGTGTCCTGTCAGACCGTCGGGCTTCCTCCGGCCACCTCTGGCTTCCTGCGGTGTACCGGGCCATTCTCGACTCGTCTGGCAATGCGTGCGCGGCATTCAACACGCGCTCGCCAGTTCCCGTCGGCAACCGCCATCGCGGCCGCATCAGCTGTACCAAACCGGCTGGCCGGTGTGACTTCGGCCCCCAGTTGTG